ATGCTAATCCGTAAAAGAGAAAAAAAATATATAAAAAGAACTGGTAGTTAATTTAATTTTTTTTTGAGTTCTTAAAGAAAATTCTTGAGATTTCTCCACTGTAACATCAGGACTTTATATGTGTTTCATGTAATCCACATTCTTATAATATTTTCATACTACATGCTAAAATCTTTTAGATCTCGAGAATTTGAAATATTTAGATTGAAATATTAACGTGTTTACAAACTAAAAAAAAAAAAAACGAAATATACTCTTTAAGAACCATTTTAGATACCTTATAGTGCAATATAGCACGAGAATTTGACATTCCCTTTATTAACGATAACGGTTCAGACGAAAAGACTTAACGCACACACATTTAATGATTATTGACGACAACCTTCAAGTTTAAGAACATGACAAATATTATGACAGCAACTTTCACCATTAAACCAATTTCCGAATCGACACCATCCAAAATTCAAACGACCATAAAATCATTAGTAGTTGACGATAATTTAATAACCGGTAAAATCCTCTCAAAGATTCTGACCAAAGAATTCAATCATCAAGTAACTTGTGTATCGAGTGGTAATGAAGCTTTGAATAAATTATCACAAAATGTTTATGATCTTGTATTTATGGATATTGACATGCCAGAATTATCTGGTGTTGAAACTAGTATCAAGATAAGAAATTCGAATAATGTTATGGAAGAAAACAGAGTAGTCCCCATATTCGCTTATACTACCAATAAGTGGGATGAAAAGTTTTTAAATGCTGGCATGGTAAGTATTAATCCTTGATAATTCTTTATTCTTGATTAACATTAATCTTATAATCGTTAATATGTTACAAATATGTTAAAATATTAATATATATTTTTTTAATCTTATTTTTCTTATTTTTCTTATTTTAGAATGGTTATATCGGTAAACCAGCAAGCTCGGATAAAGTTCAGGCTGTGATCGAGACTATTTCTCGTCGTTAAACGATTATTAACTATTAGTTAGAGATTGTATATATGTAATATTCTGTAAATATCTATTAAGAGAAATTTTGTTAGATTTTTCCAGTTATTACATATGTAATATTCTGTAAATATCTATTAAGAGAAATTTTTGTTAGATTTTTCCAGCCATTACTTACTATATACGTATATATTTTGCATATGTCATTCTTTATTTTTCATTCGGGAACTTGACTGGTTCATATCCCAAACTTTGGTACCCGATCTTCAATTTATATGTTATATTGTTTAATTGTATTACAGTAATTAAGTACCTTCCCTAAAAAAAAAAAAAAAAATTTCTAAGGTTATCGTTAAGGTGGAATTATAATAATTATATATGCTACGTATTAGTAATTTAGTAATTTGCGTATGAACAGTGTATATATATATGTATATGTATATATATGTATATGTATATATGTATTATGAACTTAAATATACTTTAATAAAAAAAAAAAAAAAAAAAAGTATGCCGTCCATTAAGTTTTTACTGCGTAAATTTTATCATTGTTGCGTCAATACGTAACTAAATACGAAGAGATATTCGGTGGTCCTGACAAATTGGTTTATACAAATGAACTTATTTTTTCTTTATTGCATTTTTTAGCCTTTAATATTTTCCCACACGGTTTCATCCTTCCATATAATTTTTTTTTCTTTTTTACTTTCATTCAATGTTTCAGAATCATAATACAGTATATAAGATAATACAGTAAGATAAGATAGTCACACCAAAATATTATCACTACTAATTGATCATAATCAATAATAACGACAAGATTATGAATAAATAAACTTTAATTAACTTGTAATGGGCATATTCAATTTCAAACCATTCATGTATTAAAAATCTGCGTTAGAAAATTTCACATTATTAACTATCATCACACAGATCATTTAACAAATCAATATTTACAACATTTAAATTTAAATATTGTTGTGAATGGATAATATGACAAAAATACCGGAGATAAATTTATTAAAGTATGTTACGTTAGTACATAGCATATAAACAAAAAAAAAATTTTTCCCTTTATTTAATGATCTTTTCCTTATTTATTTAGGTTTGTTTATTATGGTAAGATTTCCGCATAATAAGGATGGCTGCCGTACAAATATTCTGGGGACAATCAAAAATGATTTACTACGAAAACTTTTTTTTTCTCTCCTATTGGTTTATAATTCTAGATTTTCACCTTAAATATATTACATAATCGAAAATCTTTGGTCCTCCGTCATTTATTATGTATATATATTGTAAAACTTTATGAACCTGTATGTTTGATTACCAATACCCTCTCAAAAATCACTCGACCTTGCATTCATAACTTGTTACAGTTTATTTAATATTTTAAATTTCGTTATTATCTCGTATTTTATGATAAAGTTTTGATTTTTATTCGGTCATCTCCAGGATTTAAATTAATCCTTCTGCATGTCATATTGTGGCGTGCATATATCGTGGTCTATAAATAATAATTTTAATCTTAATTTTTTACGTTTTTTAATATAGTTATAATATGTTATAATTGTTATATCGATATAATCATTTGCTCATAAATTATTTCTTTATAGTTCTGGAGTTCTGGTCATCCTGGTACGTACAGTACCTATCTTGAATAACGTACAACTTGTTTCAAATGATTACATGTGATGCATTAAATACATATTAATGGTTCTGTACCCAACTTAAAGTTAATTGATCGAAAATGAAAAATAAATAAATAAATCCCCCCCAATTATTAATCCCAACAATTATTTATCCCAATTATTAATCCAAATTATTAATTTATTATATTTATATTAATCGGTTCAAAATTATATACCGACAATAAAAAAATATTTGATAAATCCCAATTATTAATATTATTTATTTATATTTATATTCATCGGTTCAAAAATATTTGATCTTTAATTTTTAATTCTTATCTTTAATATACACTAATATACACTAATATACACTAATATACACTTTAATTTTATATATTACCCAAAATTTGTCGAATAACGGTAATTTGGCAAATGAACACGTGACACGTGTGCCAATCATTTGCCCAGTTGTGTCAAATTACCATTATTCGACAATGTTCATGATTGGTAAGGGTGTCTTCGGCTGAGTTTTTAATTTGAATATAAAAACATGAATTACATGGTAACACGTAACACGTAACAAGATGATGTAAATTTATGTTATTCGGCATTTTCTATGTATCGGATTTTGCAATTACAAACTGTTATCCGGCATTTGAAATTTTATCATTTTT